CCAGGCTTCTCTGGATGCCCTGTCCAGCCATCGACAGCCTGCAGGGACACCACCCACAGGCTCACTCATACCCACAGGGAGGAGAAACAGAAGACCCAGAAGAACAGGGGGTGATGCTTTGTCGGTGTGAGGGTCTGGAGTCATTGAGGGAAAAGGAGAATTCAGTCAAGCGGTCTCTTTTAAGTTTAGGGAAACTACCATTTTAAAAGTTGTCCAGAGCCAGGCGCGGGTGGCTCAAGCCTGTGATCCCAGCACTTTGGGAGGCCGAGGGCGGGCAGTCACAAGAGTCGAGAGATCCAGACCATCCTGGCTAACACCAGCGAAACCCCATCTCTATTAAAAAAAAATACAAAAAAAGGAAAAATTAACCGGGCATAGTGGCGGGGAGCTTGTAGTCCCAGCTACTCGGGAGGCTGAGGCAGGAGAATGGCAGAACCCGGGAGGCGGAGCTTGCAGTGAGCCGAGTTCACACCACTGCACTCCTGCCTGGGCAACAGACAGTGAACTCCGTCTCAAAAAAAAAAAAAAAAAATTTGTCCAGAGCATGTAAGATGGATGAGTTTGCTATGTGGAAGCCCGTGAGTCTCACATGAGCTGTGCTGCCTGATGCAGGAACCACGAGCTATATATGGCTGGCATGGTCACTGCACTGTGTGTGTTATGCACAGCAGGTGCCAAAGGACTGGTACAAAAGTGAATACAGGGCATGGTGGCTCACAGCTATAATCCCAACACTGGGAGGCAGAGGCAGGAGGATCACTTGAGGCCAGGAGTTCAAGACCAGCCTGGGCAACATAGCGAGATCCAGTCTCTACAAACAAAAGAACAAAAGTGAATGCAGTCCAGGCGCAGTGGCTCATACCTGTAATTTCAGCACTTTGGGAGGCTAAGGTGGGTGGATCACTTGAGTCCAGGAGTTGAGGGACAGCCTAGGAAATATGGTGAAATCCCCATCCTATTTAAATAAAAAAGGAAAACAGAGTGATTGCAACATTTCATGAATAACTTATGTACTGATTACATGTTGAATTTATAATATGTTGGATATTTTGGGTTAATTGAATATATTATTTGATTAATTTCACTAGAAATTTATTTTCTAGTGGTGACCAGAAAATTTTAAATTGTAGCTGGGGGCGTTGGCTGGATGCCTATAATCCCGCACTTTGGGAGGCTGAGGCTGGTGGATCACCTGAGGTCGGGAGTTTGAGACCAGCCTGACCAACATTGGTGAAACCGGCATCTCTACTAAAAACAAAATTAGCCGGGCGTGGTGGTGCATGCCTGTAGTCCTACGCTACTTGGGGAGGGTGAGGGCAGGAGAATCGCTTTGAGCCAGGAGGCGGAGGTTGTGGGTGAGTGGAGATTGCCACCATTGCACTCCGGCCTGGACAACAAAAGCAAAACTCCGTCTCAAAAAATAAAATAAAAAATAAAAAAATTGCATGTGTGGCTCACGCCCCTGACTTGGGGTTGCTGAAGGTGTGTCGTGAATGTGCTGCAGCAGCACTGTCCGATGGGAGCATTTAGGCGAGCCACAGACTAACGGTCTGCTGTGCAGCCCCCGGCCCCGCTAGGTGAGACACCACTGCTGATGCCGCCTGCCCTGACT